TATGATTCTGGCCTCTGCACTGGGGAGGTGGTGCTGTTAGAACTCAGGCTTAAAGCATGGCCAAGTACATTTAGGGCAGGCAGAGGGCCTGTAACAAATTCCACGTGGGCAGGAGCTGTTACAAACCAGGAATGCAGAGCACAGAGCAGTCTGTGTGCACAACTTGTCCTCATGCCCATCTTTCAGCAGGGCCAAGCTTGCTGAACTCAAAGCAGTTCATCTTGTCCCTCACCCCTTTGTTACTGCTAAGGCTAAACTGTGGCCAAAACTGCCCACTAAGGCAGCCACAGCTAGGCTGGGTTTGTATTAGAGCTATTCCATCAATCAGCTCCTCTCCATGAGATAGTCACAGCAGAGAAACAGATGGGAGAGCAAGAAGCTCTTCTTTTATCTCCAGTTCTTGAGGGTTTTCACCCGTGTTGAGCACTCTGAGCCTGCAGTAACTGCTTAGCTGCTTCCCTTGCCTGCCCTGGGGCTGCGTAACTCCATAGGGATCCCTTTGAAGCTCAGCAAGGCTTCCTGAAACATCCTGTATAAAATATCTCCTGCGGGGCCAGGCAGAGCCTCCCACTGTCACCCTTTAGAGTGAGGAAACAGCAGCCACACAGGACAGTGGCAGTGGGAGCAACCCCTGGGTTAGCCTCAGCAGCACAGCACAGTCCAACTCTCGGAGGGCTGAGAGCAGATACTGACCCCATAGCACCAGTGGGTCACAATGAACTATGGTTTTCACCTTTTTACCCCCCTTTTGCCATTCTAGCCTGCAGGGTAACAGTAGGCTGAGCACACCCCTGACTTAGGAACATCACCCAAACATCTCACGACTTTACCATGAAAAGGCTTTATCCTTGGCTTTGCGTTTCTTTAAGGCAGTGGGATTTCCACAGGCAGGGCTTTTAACACATACCTGTCCAACAGGCTTTAACCTGAATAAAAGCAGAGTTTACACAGCACTACACAAACTCACAGCACCATCTGCTCCATGCGCTCTGTACCCCTGATTACATTAGTGAACAGTAGCAGTGAGATATTCCAGGTCTCTTAGAGGTTGGATGGGGCTTGGAGCAAGCTGCTCTAGTGGAAGGTGTCCCTGCCCATGGCAGTGGGCTGGAACTGGATAAGCTTTAATGTCCCTTCCAACCCAAAGTACTCTATGATTCTATGAACATCCAGTCCCTTTCTACAGCAGCTCTAGGGCACGTTATATCTGACAAAGAAGTTGACCTAGGTCAAGCAGAAACATACATGAGATAATAAATACAGTGGAAGCAGAGATTAAACTGCAGCAGCAAGAGGTGAAGAACAGCAGCAGGGATCACTCAGTCCCATAGGGCACCAGAGCAGCCTCTGCCACTTAGAAACTCTCACGTGGCCCTTAGAAACTCTCACTGGGGCTACGTGATGCCAGGTCTGCAATGCCGAGTCCCTGCTTTCAGCCCCTGCTGCCTTGCACATGGGGCTGGGATCCAGCTTTCCTGAGCCTGCAGTGCTGCTGGGATTGCTGGATTTGGACTAAAGCTAAGGATACATTGGTGGCTGGCTTGTTTTAATGAAATAAAAATAATATAATAATCAAGCTGGCTCTTCAAACAGTTTAGTGACACTGCTCCCAAAAGAGATGTTTCAATATAGGAAAAGATCTCTTGGGGATGATGATTTTGGCCTTAGGATGGTCACATGGATCAAAGTAATGAAGTTACAACAGCTTAAAAAGTCACTGCCTGTCACCTGAGCTGAACTGAGCACAGAGACTGAAGCTACATGAAGGAGTTGAGCTGCTGTCAGCTTACTGACACCAGGCACCTGGGTGCTGCTTTCCAGGGCTCCCCTGTTGAACCTCTCAAAGCCAGGCCAGCTCAGTAACTTGACAGAAGAACAAGTATTTGTGGTATTGGCAGGCATACAGATTTGGCCAGGGCATCTGCTGGGGGGAGACAGAGATCAGGTACCAGATATGGCTCAAAGTTGCCCTTTTTGTTGGAAGAGATCTCCACCCTCAGGTGAAGCCCCACACACTTTGGTTCTGCTACACTTCTGTGTCCAGATGAAGCTAATTTAGTTGAAGGCTGCTGCTGAAAGGGCAGCTGCCCTTCTTCTCTCCCCTAACTACATGATACCAACTCCCCCCTTCTGCCCAAGCATGGGAGCAGGCACATGGAACCATGGAATCTCTCAAGTTGGAAGGGACCCACAGGAACTATTGAGTCCAACTCCCTGCTCCTTGCAGGACTACCTACAATTAAACCACACAGCTAAGAGCACAGAGCAATGCTCCTGGAGCTCAGGCATGCTTGGTCAGAGTTCCCTGAGGAGTGACCAACAACCCCTCAGTGAAGACCCTTTTCCTTACAGAACTCAAGGATATGTAAGAAGCTAAAAGCAAACATATGGGGTCAGACAAGGTCTGTGCAGCTTGAGGTCCCGTTCCATGTCAGAAGGGGGAAAACAAGAACAGCATGAGACAGTCTCCAATAATAGTTGTCCAGCCCCTAGGACAAGGGGTAACGGGTTCAAACTGAAACAGGGTAAGTTTAGACTGGATATAAGGAAGAAGTTCTTTACTGTAAGAGTGGTGAGGCACTGGAATGGGTTGCCCAGGGAGGTTGTGAATGCTCCATCCCTGGCAGTGTTCAAGGCCAGGTTGAATGAGGCCTTGGGTGACCTGGTTTAGTGTGAGGTGTCCCTGTCCATGGCAGTGGGGTTGGAACTGGAGGATCTTAAGGTCCTTTCCAACCTGAACTGTTCTATGATTGTATGACTTTCCACTATAATAGAGTCACCTTGAGTTTACATTCTGCAGCCATAGGAGTTGGATCCCACTGGGGAGGCAGCACATGAGGAGTTCAGCCTCACCATGGCCACTTTAAGCCACCCTGTGAATTCATTTGTATTCTGGATCATTTGGCACAGCACGGCCTGGTTACTGCATAATAGTGATCATGTTCTCTGCAGTCAGAAAGGCACTGCCCTCCCTCCAAGCACAAAGCACTCACTTCTACAGTGTTATTGATGAGCATGAGGTTCCTCTGTCCAGGTGAGATAACGTCTGACCCCGCTGCAGAGTTCAGGCCTGGAAAACAGGTCTTTCTGAAGCACAAGGCAAAGAAAAGCAAGATTCATGGTGAAACCAATTCGAATGAACAGTCGGAAAGGCAGCTCAGAGCTTAGCCTACAGGTTTCCTTTGCAAAGCACCTTCCAAAATGAATTAACAAAGCCAGCATTAACGTTAATAGTTGGTCCATGCAGCTGAAAATAACTCCTTCACTGGTACACTCAATTTGCCCAAGTACCTTTCTTAGGTCAGAGAAGAAAGTGCACTCAGTGAAGAATTTTAGGTTGGCAATGTTTAGATAATCAAAACTGATGAATCAGTTTATGGTAAAAAAGGATCCCAGGAAGATACTTTAAGGATGAAACAGCTTTATTTGGAGGCCTTCATCAGAGATGATCTAACCTTAGAAAACCCAGGGCAGGAAGAGAAACCTGCAAGCTGTATATACAAGGTAGCTCACTCCACTGGGAGCTGGGCTCCTCCTTGCAGCACCTGTTTTGTCTTTAGGGAAAGACAGAATGATTCCAGACATTAAAGTCTGGGGACACATGCACTTGGAGGGCTACAAAGATGCTGCGAGGGCTGGAGCAGCTCTGCTCTGGAGCCAGGCTGAGAGAACTGGGCTGTGTCAGCCTGGAGAAGAGAAGGCTCCTGAAGGGGAGACCTTAGAGCAGCTCCAGTGCCTAAAGGGGCTGCAGGAAACCTGGAGAGGGGCTTGGGACAAGGGCCTGTAGGGACAGGCCAAGGGGAATGGCTTGAACCTGCCCAAGGGAGACTGAGATGAGGTCTCCATCACACAGCAGTGATCAAAGCCTCCAAGGAAGAACAGAACCCGCTGTACACACAACTTGCTGGGAAGGGCCCAGCCTCTGCCAGGGGGCAGGGGAGCTTTGGGCCTGCTCCTGGCTCTGGGCTGGCATCACCCCTGCTCCACCCCTTCACCAGAGCCAGCACCACCTCCCTTGGCCCTCAGACCAAGCCAGCTCAGGCCCTGGCAGAACAAAGCAGAAGGAGCCGGAGCTGCAGCACTGCTGAGGGCTCACAGCGCCCAGGAGCTGACAGCAGCCATGGGCCCATCGCCCACTGCAGCACCTGACCCCAAGAGCCAGGAACCGGTGTGTTAACAACAGAACGCACTAAAAGGAGCTAAAATCAAGGCTCAGGAGATGGGACCTGTACACACAGCAATGGTCTTTACGAGTCCAATCACTGTAACTGGGAAGGGCATCAAGGCCTCATAAGCCTTGCGTCAGGTCTGCCCTTTGTGCCCTCAGAATGCTGTGCTATCCCCAGCACATTGGTAGGTCTAATCCAGATTGCTGCCTTCACCAATAAACGAGCCTTATAAATGTCTCTAAACTATCCCCATTGTAGTAACAGTGCTCTTCATACCAGGAAACATACACTTGCTGTGGAAAAAAACCTGCACTGCCCCTCACTGCTCACACTTGCAACTATCACCCGAAACAGGTAAAAATAATCACAGAAATAGACTGGCTTGTGTTGGAAGGGACCTTAAAGCTCCTCCAGCTCCAACCCCTGCCACGGGCAGGGACCCCTTCCACTGGAGCAGCTTGCTCCAAGCCCCTGTGTCCAACCTGGCCTTGAACACTGCCAGGGATGGGGCAGCCACAGCTTCTCTGGGCACCCTGTGCCAGCACCTCAGCACCCTCACTACAAGGTCTCCCCGAGAAGCAACCGCTGACCCCGGCGCATCCCGGCCGTTTCCCTCCCGCTCCGCCGCCGCTTCCGCCCGCCCGTTACCAGGCAGCGGCGGCCGCGCTGCACGCCGGGAAGGGCCGGGAACGCCGGGAAGGGTCAGAGGGCAGCGGCTGAGCGCGGGCTTTAGTGCGGGCAGGGTACGGCCGGGCCCGGAGCCACCGTGACCCCCCCCCGGGCTTCCCCCGCTCCCTCCGCCCCGGTGACAGCCCCGTTCCCTGCCCCCGCAGGCGGCCCAGCATGGCAGAGAGACCGGAGGACCTGAACCTGCCCAACGCCGTCATCACCCGCATCATCAAGGAGGCGGTGGGTGCCGGGCCCGGGACGCACCGGGATGGAGGAGCGAGTTCCCCCCGGGCTGCAGTCGAAGGGGCTCCGCTGAGCTGCGGTTTGGCTGCTCAGAACGGGCCCAGGCCCGGGGAGGGCTGCGGGAGGGACGGACCCGGGCTGTGAGCCCCGCGGGCCCACTCCGCGGCGGCAGCGAAGTCCCGGGGCACTGGGGCTGTGTCCGGACAGCGAAGGGAACCGGGTCCTGGTGAGAGCCTGGAATTATTCCCCATGGGGGTACTGAGGCGCTGGCACAGGGTGCCCAGAGAAGCTGTGGCTGCCCCATCCCTGGCAGTGTTCAAGGCCAGGTTGGACGCAGGGGCTTGGAGCAAGCTGCTCCAGTGGAAGGGGTCCCTGCCTGTGGCAGGGGTTGGAACTGGATGAGCTTTAAGCTCCCTCCCAACCCAAACCAGTCTGGGATTCTAACCCCAGTCACTAGAGGTCTGTTTGGTCCCAAGCATTGAGCTGTGGCTGGATGGATCCAGATGTGCCAGGGATCAGTCTGTGTTGGGAACCTGGGAGCCATCAGACAAATTGCCAAGTCAGTGGTCAAACCCATCCCTGATCCAAAAGTGTCTTTGCTCCTCGGTAGCCCACTGCATTTAGAAGAGCACAGTCAAACTGAGGTTGGTTTCCCGCCGGCGTCAAAGTTGCTGTGATAGTGACCGAGACCAACCTTCCACTTCCAGTTGTGCTGAGTCCTCCAAATGCCTTATTGTGGCTGACACATGAATTATGCAGGTTTAAGTCATTTCTAGGAGCTGCTGCTAAAAGCTGAATTTGTTTTTCAGCTTCCTGATGGAGTCAACATTTCCAAGGAAGCTCGGAGTGCGATATCTCGAGCAGCGAGTGTGTTTGTGCTTTATGCAACATCATGGTAAGAATTTGTTGTGCTACATAAGCAGTGCTGGTGATGTAGTTGAAGCTGTCCTTGCCTGTGGCAGGGGTTGGACTGGATGAGCTTTAAGGCCCCTTCCAACCCAAACCAGGCTGGGATTGCCTGTTTATATCAACAAAACCATCATTAGTGCAGCCCAGTATACAGATCACAGCAGTGGGGTTCTGGCTGCTCTTCACTACCCCAGAGAAAGCAGCTTTGGGCTCTGGACATGGAGACCCTTCCCTGCCAGGAACAGGAGGGGTCCCGGGCTGCCATTCCCTTAGAACACAGCTGTGTGGCCTTTCCCAGGAAAGGGAGGAGCATTTGGTTCCCTCTCCAGGCTGTTCCCCACACAGCAGCCTTAGGGCAAGCAGGAGCCTGCCTTATCACCCCAGAGGACACAGCAGTGTTCCTTGGGCAGCTCCGGTGGTGTGCAGGCAGTTGCTCCCCTGGTGTTGGGTATGGAATGGCTTTGTGGAATTGTCACCCTGCAGCCAACGTTCTGACTTGCTCCTTCCCCCTAGTTGTGGAAAAGGTCCAGCCAATAAACAGCCAATGTAGACAGAGAGGTACCTTCAACTGCTAGTAGGAGATTCAAGAACCCCAGATGTTTGAGAGATGGGTTCTTTTCTTAAGTTGCTTGTGACTTTAACAAGACTAAACTGGAGCCATTTACCAGTTCCTTCTACTCATTTTTGACTAGTGCAAATAACTTTGCCATGAAGGGGAAGAGGAAAACCCTGAATGCTGGTGATGTTCTCTCTGCCATGGAGGAGATGGAGTTCCAGCGATTTGTAGCCCCTCTGAAGGAATCACTGGAAGGTACCGGCCTCATTCACGTGGGGGGACTCTGTAGCACTGAGCCCTGTTTTCCTCGAGCACTGGACAAGCAACACTTACTTGCCTGTCTTGTTTCTCTTCTCTTTGCCCAGCATCCTACACTGCCTGGGGATAACTAATGTGCGCCCTAACAGGACTGGGATAACATTGTATGTCACAACTGATGAGGATTGAGAAAGTCTCATCTGCTGTCACCCCCCTATTATGTTTATCTAAGGGAAGCCTTAGGTGCTGCCTAAATGTGAGCTCCTGCATCCTTTTCAGCAGGTTTCTGCTGAAACTTAGCCTGATTTCCTGGTCAGCACAGCTCAGACAATAGGGTGAGTGGCTGCTGTGGGGCCACTGCCCTTTGAAGCGGCCGTGGGACTCCAGCTGCTGTGTGGTTCGTGCCATGGGGGCACCAACCTGTTGTCTTTCAGTGTTCTCTTTCTCTCTGTTAGTTTACAGGCGCGAACAGAAAGGAAAGAAAGAAGCAAGGAAAGACAAAGACAAGAAGGCAGACTCAGAGGAGCAGGATAAGAGCCGAGAGGAAGAGAATGATGACGATGATGAAAGGATGGATGAAGAAGAGCAGAATGATGAGGAAGAGGTGGACAACTGAGCTCACTGATGTGTGCAGGCACTGAGTTTTGGTCAAAGGGCTGTAAACACTGTAAATCAACTCTGCTGTGTCCCCTCTTGCTTCCAGTAGAGCTTTGCTCTGCTCCTCTGCAGCCTCTCCCTTTTGGCTTTAACTTGTACATAAAGGACTTTGGCTAAAGCTTTGCTTGGACATGAGGGACTCCTGCTAAAGTTTCTCTGGTGGAAGGACTCCTCCCTGTGCTGGGGGGGCTGAACAATGACAGGACTGAGCTTTTCACACTGGCTTGGCTCTGAAATAGAGGACAGAAGAAATACTTGGAGCAAGAACTTGAGAGACCTGAATAAGCTCATTAAAGTATGTCAGGGGCTGAAGCAAATAGGTCATTAACCCTTTGGGGTTTAGAATCTCCCTGATGATGTCAGAGGGCTTGGAAGCTGAATACTGAAGCTTTTATCCCTGTGACTTGCTTTATTTTCCTTCGTTTTCTTGCATTCTGGCTGTGCCTTTTCCTCCTGCTGTATCTCTGTCAGAGCTGCTGTGTCTTTCAACCACACTGGTCATATGCAGCAACGAGGTTCAACTGCACAAGAGCCAGTGGCCCATTCACCTCACTCACCCAAACCAATGAACTTCACAGCGCTTTATGATGTAAACCGAGTACTGAAAGTGCTGTTTTTTGTCTTTAAAGCCCTGGGAGACCCAGAGGAATTCTATTTAGGATCTGAATCAGAATGAAGAGTGGAGTTCGGTTGGGGTGTTATAGTGGAGCTCACAGTCTCACCTCCCTCCCCTGCAGAGCTGCAGTGGGTTAAAATGGGGTAGAACAGAGGTGGATCTTGTTGGTTTGAGTAGGTTTTTCTCTTTACCTGATTGGAATGGGTTGATTGCCTCACAGATCCTTCCATAGCCTTCAACAACCATCCCAGAGGCACAGCCTTGCTTCCGGCTGGGCTCTTGGGCTGCAGTGTCAGGCCCGGGGCTTTCCAAAGCTCCTTCATGACAGATGGACTGAAACAAGCTGTGTGTGTTCCTTGTACTCATGTAGGTTTGTGCTTTTATACTTCTTGTTAGCTTTGATGCCTTTCTCTCTGAGAAAATACCCATTAGAATAAGGGTCCTTTAGGGAAAAGTGCTTTATTGAGCTTTTTGAAGACTGATAAACCAAATGTTTGAACTTAACTAGGGAAATCAGGGGCAGTTTTAGGTATGTTGAAGTGAAACCTGTGAGTTTCACTGATGTGCAGTTTTAAACAGCACTTGTGAGGAACAGAACATCCTTTTCACCATGAAGTGGATGCAGAACCGCCCCCAAGAGCTTCCCACCTTTGTGCCTGTGCAGAGCCCAGCTCCGGAAGAAAACGGAACCAACACAGACTTTGTGCTGTCTGGCTCCTGACGCGCAGTCAGATGAACAGGCAAAGCTGACACCATCTTCCCAAGATCCCCAGTGACAAAAGGCCTTTCTGCTAGCTCTTTGTCCTTTTTTCCTCTCCTTTCATACCTGGGTGCATATTCTGGAAGGGAACAATATCCAAATAAAAGCCAGAGGGTTTTTTACACAAGCGGAGTCTCTTGTTCCTGTCAATAATGAGCTTGTGGAGAGGGCAGAAGCAAACTGCTGTTGGAGTGTCTCACAGTGAAGTGAGGCTGGAGGCTGCTGCAGCCCAGATTTGGAGCCAGGGGAGGCTTGGAAAAACCTTCCTGGAGCCTTCCAGTTAGCAAAGAACATCCCCAAAAGGCACCTAAAACCTGGCTCCAGATCTCTCCACAGCACACCGAAACCTGGCTCCTTACACCCCCAGCACTACAAAGCCCTGCTGCCAAACCCCAAAATCTGGGTAGAGAGCCAATCTAAATCCCCCCTCAGCACCCCAAAACCTGCCCCCTTACCACCCCCAGAAACTCAAAACCTCTCCAGCTCACCCAGCACCCTAAACTCTGCATCTAAATCCTGCCGCAACACCACCAGAACCCCAAAACCTGCTCCAGCTCAACCATCTGGCTCAAGGTTCTGCTGCAGCACCCCAAAACCTGCCTCCTTACTGCCCAGTACCCCAAAGCCCTGCTCCAACCCCTTCAGCAGCACAAACCCGGGCTCCAGATCCACATACAGCACCCTAAGACCTGCCTCCTCCTCCTCCCCCCAGCACCCAAAGCCCTGCTCCATCCGGCTCAGAACCCCAAAGTCTGCCCCCTTACCGGCCCAGCACCCCAAATCCCTCCTCCCTCATCTCCGCACCGCCTCCAAGACCTTTCCCGCGCTATTTCGCGCGAGACTTCCCGCCAATATCCCGCACTGATAAGGCGTGTCTATGCTAACCAGGGGGCGGGGTTATGCAAATCGAGAGACGGCGCTGGGAGACTCTATACGGACGGAGCAGGACGCGGCGGCGGGTGAGTGCCAGCGACAGGGACGGGGATCGGGACCAGGGGCACCGGAGGCGGGGCATTCTACCCGGCTCCCATCCCTCTGTCCCCGACCCCGTCCTCTTATAGGCCTGCTCTGAGGCTGGAGATCGGGATAACCGGAGGGGTAGGGCCCGGCCGGGCAAGGAGACACCGCTTGGGTGCAGGGGGCAAGGGCAGCTCTCGATAGCGCAGTAAGGACAGAACGGGTTCTGCTCGGTAAAGCACGGAGCAGCGTGTGATGCTGCGGTGTAATTGCAGATCCACTGAGCACTGAGTGTCTGCAGGACTTGAGGTAATGTGCAGGGAAGGATGAGGGCCGGAGCAGCTCTGCTCTGGAGCCAGGCTGAGAGAGCTGGGCTGGGGCAGCTGGAGAAGAGAAGGCTCCTGAAGGGGAGACCTTAGAGCAGCTCCAGTGCCTAAAGGGGCTGCAGGGAACCTGGAGAGGGGCTTGGGACAAGGGCCTGTAGGGACAGGCCAAGGGGAATGGCTTGAACCTGCCCGAGGGGAGACTGAGCTGAGCTCTTAGGCAGAAGCTCTTCCCTGTGAGGGTGCTGAGGCGCTGGCACAGGGTGCCCAGAGAAGCTGTGGCTGCCCCATCCCTGGCAGTGTTCAAGGCCAGGTTGGACACAGGGGCTTGGAGCAAGCTGCTCCAGTGGAAGGGGTTGGAGCTGGAGGAGCTTTAAGCTCCCTTCCAACCCAAACCATGCTGTGACTCTATGGTGCAGTGTCCCCTTATCACAGCACTCTTGCAGCCCTTACTCTGCATCTCCCTTGGCCCTCCCCGTGCATCACACAGAGGCTGTAAGATCCTGGTGCCCTCATCCAGACGGGTGCTCTGGCTGGGCACAGGGACTGTGCAGCTCCACATGGGGCTGGTGAGGAGCCCCCGGTGCCCCCAGCTCACAGCAGGCAGGGCTGTGCTGGGGCCACCCCCCGGCTGTTATCTCTGCTCTGCAATTCAGCCCTGTCCCTGTCCCCTCCTTGCCCAGTGAGCGCAGCCTCCGAGCTGGGGCCTCTATCTGCCCTGCACAGAGTCAGGTGCCTCTGGTTCCACCCTGCCCCTTCCTCCTGGGGATTAACTGTTAAAAGCATTTTTGGGATTCTCGAGGTGGGTTTTGCTCACTGAGCCCTTTGTTCTCCACTGGACCCAGCCTGGAGCCCGGCCACTGCACTGGAGCTGCCAGCTGCAGTTCAGGCCGGGGCTGGCCCCTTCCCTGTGAGTCAGGGCAGAGCAGCAGCTTTCCAAGGGCTAAAAATGACTTGCCAAGCGATGCTGTGACTCTGCCAGCTGGTCTGCAACCCCCCGAGCACCATCCAACTTCTTCATACAGCGTTTATGTAGGTGTGAACCTGTAAGTAACCGAGAGGTGCCTTTTGCCCATCCCAAAGCAGAAGCGAGACTCAGGTCAAGCCCTGGACTTGATACGATGCCCGTGTGCTCTGGTACAGACTGAGAACCTGGCTCAGCATTGCAGTATCTTGAGTGTGTGAACACCTCAGATTAAAGGTTTTCCTGCAGGATGGAGCCATGTCCTGCACAGCTCTGCTGCTCCCTGCTGCCGTGGGTGCTGCTGTAAAGCATTCTCCCTGGGCTGTATCTGTTCCCCGGCAGCAGGTCCATGAGGTTTATTGCTTGGGGAATCCCTCCAGGGGTAGGACTGAGGACCCCAGGGCTGCTCCAGGCCAGCTCCTGTCCTCATGTCCCCTCTCAGGGCAGCCCCCCCCCGCCATGGAGCACTAGGGGAGGAATCCGCTCGCTCTTTCAGAAGTCTCCAGCTCTCAGAACAATCTGGTCTCCAGCAGGGACTTGGCTCTTGTCTCCCTGCACAGGCGCCTGTGGGATGCAGCCCTGTGAGAGCAGCCAGCCCGAGTCCTTGAAGCTGCTTGTACAAACAGGCTGTGGTCCAGGTTGGGGTTCCCAGGGCTCAAACAGCTGCTCCCTGCTGTGCTGCGGCCAAACAGCCGTTCCATCACGCTCATCCACACCACGGTGGTGAGAATTCAGCTCTAGGGGCAATTTAAATCTTAGCGGTCCCATCACAGAGTTGTTACCAGGTCTGTTACAGAAGAAAGCACTGCTACAGAAGTTCCAGCATTAACACAGCTAACACTTCATTTCTGTGCATTCTTTGCAACCTCTGCAGTCAGTTTGCCACCTCCCTGGTGTTCCTCACTGTCACTTGCTGCAGCAAGTGGCCACTGGAGCTGGGTAGCTGTGGGGTTTAAAGCCGTGGAGTCTTCAGGGTGATCCCATGCAGCTCTCCCATCCAGTGCCTGTACTGTTCTGTAACTGCACCTATACACTGCAGCCATAAAACATTGTGCTACATAGAGCAGCTCTTCACTGTATACAAATCTGTATCAAACAACTTACACAGCATTAAGCAAAAGTGAAATGAATTCAGCAAAGACCATCTCACTGATAGAAAACTGTTACAGCTGTACCAGCCAAACCAGAGGGAGCCTGGGGAGGGTTCTGCTGCAGGGGGACACTGGTGGTTGTGAACTGGTGGTTTCATACACAGAACTGGGGGGTTTCATGGGGAGGAATCAGCATCATCCCTGTTTACGTGACTGCTGCTGCGGGTCCTGCAGCACCCCCCAGCAGGGCTGGGATGGAGCTGGCTGGGATGCAGCTCGTGCTCTCTGTGTGTGCCTGGTGAGGGACAGGGATGGTCCTGCCATGGCTGCCTGGATCTCGGCCCCCTCCTCACATGCTCCGACAGCAGCAGCTTCCCAGGGCACCACCGGTCACCAACCTGATAGCTTCTTCTGGTGTTTCAGAGCCTCCTTCCACAGCCTCCACGATGCAGGTGGATTCCCTTCTCCACAGCGGCTACTTCCACCCTGTGCTGCGCTCCTGGCAGTGTACAGCCACCACCTTCGATGCCTCCAACCTCATCTACCCCATTTTTGTCACGTGAGTGAGCCCTGGCTCTCTGGGTTGGGGATGGACCACGCTCAGGGTGACCGGTTTAGATAGGTTCAGATTCCCCATGGAGTGGATGAGCCTGGGATGGGGGTCAAATCCTCACGCCGAGTCTTCAGGTCTCTATCCCATCCACCTCCTGCAGTGACAGCCCTGATGCAGTGGAGCCGATCCCCAGCCTCCCTGGACAAGCCAGGTAAGAGTCCAGCTCTGCTGAGCTGCATGGCAGTCACTGCCGTGCGCCATGCCCAAGCAGGGCTGATGCATGGCCTGAGATGAGCATGAGCCAGGAGCGATGCTTCCAACCCTCTGGTCCCTTCCTTGGGGATCCCTCAACACCAGGCAGGGCAGGAGCACTCATCCACTAAAGGAGTGGAGGGAATCATATTGGAGTGCCGGGAAAGTACCAGTACTGGCAGGGATAGTGCCAGGCTCCCACGATGGCCCAGAGCACTTGTACATTGTGTGGGCTCAGCGGGGAAATTGGAATTGGGGTTTCCAGCAGCAGCTGGAAAACCTGTGCAAGGACATGGGCTCTGGTCCTGCATGAGATCCTGTTGGACTGGCAGCTCCTGTCTTCATCTGCTTCATCTGCTCCTGTCTTCATCAGCAGGGTTGTGGTCACAGAGGCCCCAGGAGGTGTTCCTATGGGGAGGTGGGCTGGATCTGCCACAAGGACACCACGATAAGGGGTCCAAGGACAGGGCATGCTTGGCCTTTCAGAGCAGAGAGTGTCCATGCCGGGTAGATAATGTTCCTGTACTCCCAGATAAGGTCCTGGATTGTTCCTCACAATGTTCAGGCAGCGTGTCCCCTGGATCTCCAGCTGCTGCTTGCTCTGGATGCTGGGTCGCTCCCAGTCCAGCACCCAAGGCACAGACCAGCTCGCCCATGGAGCGGGTGCCTGGCAGCCCCTTCCCTTTGCTCTTCTCAGGTATGGAGTCAACAAGCTGGAGGGGATGCTGCGTCCCCTTGTTGAGGATGGTCTGAAGTGTGTGCTCATCTTCGGGGTGCCCAGCAAGGTCCATAAGGTCAGTGTGCAGGGTGGTGGCAGGGGGTAACCACAGGGGTGTGGGAGGGCAGAGCGGGGCCAGGGAGGTTCTGATGATCAAACAGGATCAGCTCAGGGTCTCTGGCCTTGCTTGCACCTCACCCAGTAGAGCAGGATGGGGATGGGAGACTGTAGTGAAAGCTCTTGCAGGTGGGCTTGAGACCTGCACTGGCTGCTCAGAGTCCCAACTCCATCACCCTTTTCCATGGCTGGTGCTTACACTGCCCGGTGTGACAGGGCCTCAGGGTTCAGAAATGGGTCCCTGCTCAGAGCCTCTGCCATGGAGGAGTGGGTGGGAAGCCCTGGGCTGTGTGTGTTGAAGCATTTCTGTCCCCACAGGACGAGGAGGGCTCTGCTGCTGATGCAGAGGACACTCCTGCCATCCTGGCCATCAAGAAGATCCGCTCCACCTTCCCAGAGCTGCTGATTGCCTGTGATGTCTGCTTGTGCCCTTACACCTCCCATGGGCACTGCGGTGAGTGCACAGCCTGGGTCCTGCGCTGCTCCTCAGGCATTTTCCTGGCATGGGGAATCTCAGGGGGGGGTCATTTTCTGCTGAGGAGCACCATCTGCTGGTGGGGTCAACCCCTGCACCAGGACTGGGCTCCCCAGTACTGATGCAGTTGAGCCTGGGAGACATCTCCTAGGTTTTGACAGCAGGGTGGGAGGCATGGGTGCTTGAGGCAGCCACTCTGGCCATCTGAGTCTGTCTGAGCACTCATCTGTGTCCCCATATCCATCTTCCCTTCCCCAGAGCACTCATGTGGTTGTTGGTCTCCTGGTCCTTACCCATCTCTCTTGGCACACTCCCTGCTGTTGCTCTGAATATCCTCACAGCTTGTCCCCAGAGCCATCTCCTTCCCTAGAGATGGAGGCAGGGCCCGTCTAGCCCCCGTGTAACCCGGCTTTGTCTCGCAGGCATCCTGCGCGAGGACGGCACCATCCAGAACGAGCTGAGCTGTCAGCGCCTGGCGCAAGTGGCGCTGGCCTATGCCAAAGCAGGTGAGGGTCCCCCGCAGCGGTACCCAGGCTCAGACCTGTCCCCTGTCCCTTTCAGCTGGACACACAGCAAACGGGGCCTGGCTCCAGCTGGGAGGGGTCTGCTCCAAGATGGGGGAGCTGCAGGCAGCCAGGACCTCCTCAGCACTGGGGTCTCCTGCTCCTTGTACAGGCAAAGCCAAAGCCTCAGGTACTCCTGTGCCTGTTGTTTCCCTGCAGGCTGCCACATCGTTGCCCCCTCAGATATGATGGACGGGCGCATCGCGGCCATGAAGGCAGCGCTGATCTCCAATGACCTGGGCAACAAGGTGAGCTCAGGAACTGCATGAGCCAGAGGCTGGAGTGATGACCACAGGGAGCCTGTGCCACCACAGGACCTGGGAGAGCAGTGGAGGAAGCAAACCCCTGCCTTGCCCAGGATGTAGGGACAGGCCAAGGGGAATGGCTTGAACCTGCCCGAGGGGAGACTGAGCTGAGCTCTTAGGCAGAAGCTCTTCCCTGTGAGGGTGCTGAGGCGCTGGCACAGGGTGCCCAGAGAAGCTGTGGCTGCCCCATCCCTGGCAGTGTTCAAGGCCAGGTTGGACACAGGGGCTTGGAGCAAGCTGCTCCAGTGGAAGGGGTCCCTGCCCATGGCAGGGGTTGGAGCTGGAGGAGCTTTAAGGTCCCCTCCAACCCAAACCACTCTGTTATTCCATGTGCCACAGGCATTTTCCTGTCTGTGTGCACACAGGAAGGGAATGTCCTTGGCTGAATGTGGGGACACTGGGGTGCCAGGGCTCTGGCACGGAAAGGTGGATGTGTTATAGATCAGCCATGGGAGGGAATCGCTTCTGCCCTGCTGCTGGGATGCAGCACCCTCCTTCCGGCCCTCACAGCTCCGCTCTCCTCTGCAGGTCTCAGTGATGAGCTACAGCGCCAAGTTTGCTTCGTGCTTCTATGGTCCCTTCAGGTGGGTCTGTCCCTTCAGGTGGGTCTGTCCCTTCAGGTGGGTCTGCCCCTTCAGGTGGGTCTGTCCCTTCAGGTGGGTCTGTCCCTTCAGGTGGGTCTGTCCCTCTGCCGGGAGCTGCATTCCCAGGCAGCTACTTGGGAAGGGGGCTTGGTCAGAGCCAGATCACTTTAGATCACACTCCTGCTTCCCAATGGGAAAGGGTGACAAATGTACCTTGCCCAGGAGAGGCAGGCTGGGGGGAAAACCAGGGGTGGAACAGAGACTACCCTGGTCACCTGCGTGTCCAGGGCATTGGTGGCAATGCAGGTACATAGGGAGCTGCCAGAAGCAGTGAGGAGGACAGTTACAGGAGCTGGTGTTGCCCCAAAGGGTGGCTTCAGGGACAAGCTCAGCTTGGTCAGCTGGTACCTTGTCCCAAGAACAGCCTGACCCTGGTGGGGCATCTCTGAGGAACCTGCCTTGGAAAAGAGCAAAAGGAAAACATCTGACACGATTTTACCCCATCTGGGCATGGGGAGGGCAGTGGGTGTTGAAGCCCAGCTCAGCCTGGCCTGTTGTACCTCCCCAAGTGATCCTGGGGCACAGAGGTGGGTCAGGAGACCCCCCTCAGGTGCTTGTCCTGGTCTGTGCTCATGTTTCTGAAGCTGTATGAGGTGGGAGGCAGGGGGAGCGGTGCTGGTCCTCATCCCCTGCCCTGCCTCGCCTCTCACCAGGGATGCTGCTCTGTCCAAACCTGCCTTTGGGGACAGGCGATGCTACCAGCTGCCACCGGGCGCCAGGGGCCTGGCCATGCGTGCTGTGGTGAGTGAGGGGGTGAGTGGGGCTGGGGCTGCGGGGACCAGAACACCCTCCCGTGTGGTGACAAGTTCTCAGCAGGCCCTGGGGAGAGCAAGGTCAGGGCTCTTGGGGTCAAAAGGGAGCAGGAGGCAGCAGAACGGCCACGGGTCTTCCCCTTCAACAAGCAAGAGAAACGAGGCCCATCAGCCTGCAGAGCTGGTGTCCAGCGCGGGCCCGAGGACTGTGCTGGGAGCTCTGGAGTTGGTGATCCTGTACCCTGCTGTGTCCCGGGGTGTTGGGTCATGGATCCCAGCCTGGTTGGGGTTGGAAGGGACCTTAAAGCCCATCCAGCTCCAACCCCTGCCACAGGCAGGGACCCCTTCCACTGGAGCAGCTTGCTCCAAGCCCCTGTGTCCAACCTGGCCTTGAGCACTGCAGGGATGGAACAGAACCACGGAGCACCGGGTGTCTGGTGGGAGGGAGCTTTGCCTCCCCCATCACAGCCCCTCTGTGGGCTCTTGTGGCTGAAAGCATGGACTTGCTGGAGCGTTCTTGTACCCGAGCTGCTGGGGTTGTGCGTTCCCCTCACAGGACCGGGACGTGCGGGAGGGAGCCGACATGCTGATGGTGAAGCCGGGGATGCCCTACCTGGACCTTGTGAGGGACGTCAAGGCTCGAGTAAGCTCCTGCAGCTGGGGAGGGCGCTGGGTGTCCCCAGGGCAGTGAGGGTGTGTGGTGGGGAGGGCCGGTTGGGACAAGGGGGGGGGTCACTGCGGGCCTCACGTTGGGGCTGGGGCTGCTGTGTGAGGGGGGGCAGCGGACACGAGGCCTGAGCCCGCCGCTGCCCGCAGCACCCCACGCACCCGCTGGCCGTGTACCACGTCTCGGGGGAGTTCGCCATGCTGTGGCACGGGGCCCAGGCCGGAGCCTTCACCCTGGAGGCCGCGGTCAGGGAGGCGGTCACGGCCTTCAGGCGCGCAGGTGAGACAGAGCCCGAGCTCCTGCCCCTGCCCCAGCCCCGGGCACGGGCCCGGGCCGCTGCCGCCGCGGGGCCGCTCCATCCGCCCGCTCTCTCCGCAGGAGCCGACGCCATCATCACCTACTTCACCCCGCAGCTGCTGCGCTGGCTGCGGGAGGAGGCGGCGGCGGGGCGGGCCTGAGCCGGGCCGAGCTTCCGGGGCGGGCAGCGGCGCTTCCGCGGCGGAGGTGGGTGGGGACGGGCTGCCTCTGGGTCCCGATCGCGCCTGAGCCCTGGACCCTGAGAGCCCCCGCGGCCGCCCCGCTCCTTCCCTCTTCGCCCCGGCCAGCCCCGGTACAGCCCCGCTCCCCGCTGCGGCACCCACGGTGTGGGGGGTTCAGCGCCCGCCCTGGGACTCTTTGCCCCGCAGGCCTGCGAGCGGGGCGGCCCCTCCGGTCGTGTCCATGACCCTGAGCCCTCCCGGGGGACGCGGGTGTGATGCGGGCCAGGGGCCGGTTCCCGCACCCCTGCGACAGTGACCGGCGTGAGCCTGCAGCGCCCCCGGCTCTGCCCTCCCCGTTGTCCCGGGTCTCCCGCTGCGCCGAGCTCCGCTGAGGCCATGCTGCGGCTCCGCTTGCTGACGTGGGACGTGAAGGACACGCTGCTGCGGCTGCGGCAGCCCCTGGGGCACAGCTACGCGGCCGAGGCCCGGGCTCACGGCGTGCGGGTGCAGCCGGAGGCGCTCAGCCGCGCCTTCCGGGAGGCGTACGGGGCCCAGGGCCGGCGCTTCCCCAACTACGGGCAGGGCCGGGGGCTGAGCTCCCGGCAGTGGTGGGTGGATGTTGTCAAACAGACCTTCAGGCTCTCGGGCGTGCAGGACGAGAGCGTCCTCACGGCCATGGCGGAGAAGCTCTACCACGATTACTGCAGCGCCCGCAACTGGGAGCCGCTGCCGGGCGCCAGCGAGACCCTGAGCCAGTGCCGCCGGCGCGGCTTCCGCATGGGGGTCGTGTCCAACTTCGACAACCGGCTGGAGAGCATCCTCTGCCAGTGCGAGCTGCGGCACCACTTCGACTTCGTGCTCACCTCCGAGGCCGCGGGCTGCGCCAAGCCGGACGCGAGGATCTTCGAGCAGGCGTTGCGGCTCGGCGGGGTCCTGCCCCGGCAGGCAGCTCACGTCGGGGATGACTACAGCCGGGACTACAGGGCAGCGCGGGCCGTGGGCATGCACAGCTTCCTGCTCCGGGCTGCGGGGCAGGGCGAGGAGCCGGGGGTGCCTCCCGAGCACGTCCTGCCCACGCTGAGCCACCTCCTGGCTCTGATTGAGAAGGAGTAGCTGTGTGCGGAGAGAGCCGGTGCTGCTGAGCCATGAAGTGGCCCCAGCGGGGGGGTTTCTTGCTGCTGGTTGGGCAGGGAGCACTGCTGCCTGTGGAGCGGGAGAGGGCTCCTGCAATAAAGTGTACCTGACACTAATCATTAGTGCTGCTGCTTCCACAGCTCTCAAACACTGGGCAAGGTGAGCGGTGGTGTCTGTCCCTAACAGCCGGGGCCTGGGTCAGGCTGTGTTCCACAGGCTCCTTCTGGCAGGAGGGATGGAGGCAGCCTTTGAGGTTTATGCCTTTGCAGTCACGCTGGGGGGAGGCTCCAGCAGCCCCCAGTTGGTCTGTTGCAGGTTGGTCTGCCCATGCAGGGCCCCCAGACACAGTCCTGATCACCTCAGTGTACCCCAGACTGACCACCCCACCACCCTCTTCCCAACAGTGGCTGTGGGCCTCCTGCTGCCGGCAAAACAGAAGCTGGGCAATTTCACGTCATTTAATGTACTGCTAATTAAACTGTACCAATTTGGGCACTGAGCAATAAAGATGACAAATTTCAAACAGGGAAGCACCTTACCTACCCTTCTCCCTGGGCTCAACTTCAGCCCAACACCTCTCCTTCCTCCGGGCCTAACATCAGCTCCCTGGGGTTTTGCCACATTACACTGAACCCTCAAACCATTGCCAAAGTAAGGAGCAGCTCAGGTGGGGTTTGTGCTCTCCTTGCTGCTTCCTCCTCTGCTCTGCCATGGGCTCCTTCATGGACCCACAGCCCCTTGGGGTGCCCCTGCCGTAGCATAGGTCTGCACAGGTGACAGCCCCCTGCACTGTCCCTGCTCCTCCCGAAGCATGTCACCAGCTGTGTCCCACTGAGTCCCTTTCCATGTGCCTCCTCCCTTCTGTTCCTCCAAACACACATCCAGAGCTGTCAAGTCAAGCAGGAAACGTTCCCTATTTCTCCTGCTTTACGAAGCCCACCATCAGGCGGGGAACTGCCACTGGTCAGAGAGGAATTAAATAACAGATCAAATGATGGAGCCAGGCCCACCCTGGGTGGGTGATCCTCCTGGAGGAGGAAAAAGCTGCTGTCAAACACATGGAGAACACATGTAGTCCGAAGGCAGGTCCTGTGTGGTCTCATTTCCCCCACAAAGGTACTGTATAGTGCATATACAGTCACTGTACATACAATTGCATATTCACCCCCTCAGCGAGCCCAATGCTTCGCTCACTGGACAAGCGAGATGCTCTCGTGTGCCACAGCGAAGACAGGGTACAGAGGCTCTGTGAAGGTCTCCCTGTGGGAGAAGAGGATGGTGCAGGAATCGGGGTCATAAAAGAACACCTCCCCTCCTGCCAAGTCAAGCAGGACCCCGATCTCTGCCGGAGCCTTGAGCAGCTCCACGGCCTGCAGGCGCCCGGCGTGCAGGAACCTGAACTCCCTGTCGTAGCGCGAGAAGACCCAGGAGGCAGCGTTGAAGCCCAGGCGGGCTTCGTTGGCAGAGCCCTTCCGTGGCAGGGAGCTGTAGCACACCCCCAGCTTGTAGGCACAGCTCTTGTCCACGCTGATCCTCCACGCACAGACTCCGGACTGGAAACCTGCAGTAGCCAAAGCGTTGGGCCAGTGGTCAAACCGCTCGGGGCCGTCCAAGTCCACCTTTGCTTTCTTGGGACTGAAGGTCAGGGTTTTCTTGTCCTCCGACAGGCTGAGGTGGGGGCTGAGTGTTTTCTCATCGATGTGAATCTCCTGTGAGCCTGCAAGAGGAGTCACGCTGTGAGCACCGGTTTGGTGGCCACCACCTGAAGAAGTCCTGGCCATCAGAAACACAATCAACAACCAACCTCCCCCTGCACACTGTTCTGGAGGAGCCCATCTGCCCCCCGGGGTGACACGGGCCAGCACAGCAGCTCCCTGCAGCTTCCTCTCTCAAAGCAGACTCGACAAAGCCCAGAGTTTACCTGGCACCTCTCCCCCCTTGCACTACAACTGCTACCAAGTCAGAGTAGATCATAGAATCACAGAGTGGTTTGTGTTGAAGGGACCTTAAAGCCCATCCAGCTCCAACCCCTGCCACAGGCAGGGACCCCTTCCACTGGAGCAGCTTGCTCCAAGCCCCTGTGTCCAACCTGGCCTTGAGCACTGCCAGGGATGGGGCAGCCACAGCTTCTCTGGGCACCCTGTGCCAGCGCCTCAGCACCCTCACAGGGAAGAGCTTCTGCCTAAGAGCTCAGCTCAGTCTCCCCTCGGGCAGGTTCAAGCCATTCCCCTTGGCCTGTCCCTACAGGCCCTTGTCCCAAGCCCCTCTCCAGCTTTCCTGCAGCCCCTTTAGGCACTGGAGCTGCTCTAAGGTCTGCCTGGAGCTCTCTCTTCCCCAGGCTGAACCAAGACACTGCTCATCTTACCCTGTCCCGTGCCCAGATCCCCACAGATCAGAACTCCATGGGTTTGGCTCATCCCATTTTTGGGAGCGACCCAAACCTCAGCTCCGGTGTCCCTTCCCACCCCCACTGTGGGTGAGCAGGACCTGACTTCTCCTCCCCTAGCCTGGATGAGTCAGGAGCCTGCACAAGGAGGGAGGGCTCTTTGCAGAAATCCTGCAGAGCTGGAAATACAGGAATGAGGAGGAATGGAGAGGGCTGGGCAGGGAAATCCCTGTCCTCCTTATAAAGCCCAAGTTATTTATCAACCGAGCACGCTGGGAACAGTGGAAGGAGGAACCACTGCGCATTAGAGATGAGCACGGCCATGATTTGGTTTTGCTGTGAATGAAGGCGCTGCCCTTGCACCACAGCACAAACCCAGTGAGCTGCAGCCCAGGGCGAGAGCCAGGCTGGCTGCAGGACACTGGCACCCATCAGGGCTCTGCACCACTGCAAACCCATGGGTGAAAGCACCCAGCACTGCTCACACTGCATGAAACCCCTCAGCAGACCATGTGTGAGTCCCGAATAACTACACCAGTGTCTGCCACCTCTGTAAATTCAAGAGATGAGGCCGATGCCCAACTGACTCACCTGCTCCCAGGGGACAGAGTTTCTACCTGTGAGTGCCCCTCCTTGCCCTGCCCTTCTCTGCCCTCACTGCACCCATTTTATGCCTTAAACTGCCAAGGAAACAAGGCTGGAGCAGGTGAGTCATTTGCCAGCAAGTGCTCTATGGTATCATAGAATCCCAGCCTGGTTTGGGTTGGAAGGGACCTTAAAGCTCCTCCAGCTCCAACCCCTACCACAGGCAGGGACCCCTTCCACTGGAGCAGCTTGCTCCAAGCCCCTGTGTCCAATCTGGCCTTGAACACTGCCAGGGATGGGGCAGCCACAGCTTCTCTGGGCACCCTGTGCCAGCGCCTCAGCACCCTCACAGGGAAGAGCTTCTGCCTAAGAGCTCAGCTCAGTCTCCCCTCGGACAGGTTCAAGCCATTCCCCTTGGCCTGTCCCTACAGGCCCTTGTGAACCCCAAACCTAGGCAACACAGAAGGCTGGATGCCAAGTGAAGACATCAAAGGACCCGTGTTTAGTTTTGAGTGTGAAGGGGAGGTTGTTTCCTGCTGGCCTGCAGGTTTTGAGAGGCTACAGCACAAACCCTCAAGGCCAGGACTTTCCTGTTTCCAAGCAAACAAACAAGAGTGATGCCTGTTCAGCTGTCTCTGGAAGGAGGGTCCACCGTGTGAAACACACCATCACTGTCTCTGGAAGAAAGCTAGGACCATCACAGTTAATACTCAATCTCTAAGGCTAGGTCCTGGGTGCACTATGGACTAATGAGGTATGCAAGGGTACGGCAGGCATCCTCGGCATGCAGTAATGGCACGTCAAATGGAACAACAGACAAAAACCCACCCAAGTAAAGCTAAACAGAATGAACTGTGTGTGAAGTGCACCACTACAAGAGCTGAATGCCTGAGAGCCATTCCATTTCATGGGGAGGCTATGGGGAAAGGAATACAACACAAACAACAACATGTGAAAACAAAGAGAATCATGGAAAGGTTTCCTGCTTGACTCAATGGCTCTGAACTATCAAGATGTTGCAAGCACAAGAGTTTGCACAACTGCCAGCACTCAGACACGGAGAGGGAAATTAATCCCAAAGGAAGAGCTAGACCAGAGTTTGTAGTAGAAGTGAATGATGTTGGCGGTTGGTCCTGAAGCTAACACACAAAACCACAAGAGCAATAAAAGCCAGAAGTGCACACCTTTGAGAAGGAACTGGAAACAGGGAAAACTGGAAACAGGGAAAACTGGAAACTGCTCATCAGCATCAAAAGTGAGATGAGCCAAAATCAGAAGTTAATGCAGAAGCTTTGAAAGGTCACCCCAGGGCCTGCTCACCAGGCACAGGACAAATGTTCTCTGGCTGTGAAGGATGGTGCCACCTTTGAGGAACAAAGGATGTAATTGAAATGCCTGAAAGCAGGAGTAAAAGCAAACATCTCCCAACCAGCCACTGGAGCAGAGCGCAGCCGGAAGCAAGCCCTCATCCCTGCTCAACACAGCCAACACCAGCCTGGTAAAACCTGCCCCGAGCACAAACACCTCCCATGGAACCTCAGCTGTACAGCAGGAGCTGAACAAACCTCGGCGGTGCAGAGCCACAGCCTCACCTTAGGATCAGAAAGCTACTGCGTTCCCTCCCTTCCCACTCCAGCAGGTCAGTGTCTCGCAGACACCACATGGGTGACTTCACCTCTTTTTAAACCACCAGCAGGCCAGTGCTGTTCACAGTGAAGTATTTCTGTGACAGGTTCCTAACAGCAGCACCAGCTTCAGTGCTGACGGCGACCCAGGGAACAGCAAAAGAAACCAAATGGGGCTCAGCCACAGAGCTGATACAAGGCACAATCCTTCCAAACCCCAGCTCTCCTCCTAGCCAAAACCAGCTGCTTGCAGCCCCTCCCCAACCACTGCTGCTGCCCCCCTGGCTGGAGGCAAATGGCAGGGGCTGGGCAGGCATCAGGACAGCATCAGCATGTCTCTTTGGGCACAACGTGAGTGGGTGTACAGGAATGCCCAGGGAGTGTGGGACCTGCAGGAGACACTGACCTGTGATGCAGCAGAGAACAGCAGAGGCCCACAGTCGATGCAGCAGTGGACTCTGAACACACGTCTGGTTAAAGTTTAACTTCAGGGACTCCTGTGGCTCTAAGATTCCCTCCGCCACCTCTGTCCTAGCAAGGGAAAACAAGAGGTATTTTGAAATACAATGATTTATGGACCAGAGCTGGGAGGTGTTTATAGAGATCACCAGAGGTTATGGAAGAAATGCGAGCTGGAGCAGTTGCAAGAGGAGCACAGAGCAACTACAGCAGGAATTCCTAGGCAAGCCCTTATCAAAAGGGATAGTTTCGGTTGGCTTCAATTACAGCCCCTTCTGAAAGGACTTCAGTGTTTTAAGTACAATCCCAGCAGCCTCAGCCAACAGCCTCCTCACTCGCCTGACACAGAGCAAAAGCATCTGAGAGCAGGCATTCAGGTACAAGAGGAGCACAATGAAGAGGCCGCTGGGAGAGAGCCAGAATTCCCCCTGCACCAACAAAGGCTGGCTCAAAGCAGGGGGGATGCAACAAGAGAGCAACTCCAGATTTCACAGAGCATAGGCAGGAGATGGGGGATCTGCTGGGCCCCCATGGCCTGCAGCACACACAGCTCATGGCTGCAAGTAAAGGCTCTGGCACGGGCTGCTGTGATGTGCTGGGGCACATTTCCTGCTCTCCAGAGGTAGGGTCCAGGCAAAAATACCCCTGAAAGTCCTCTGGGCAGCAGAGTTCAGCCAGTGCCAGGCAGCAGCCTTGTAGCAGCCCCAGAAATCAATGCCTGTAAAATGCAGCCACCACACTGTCTTCTCAGGCAAGGGCAGCCCCATGTTACTGGTGATGACTGTTAGAAATCCCAGAATCCCAGCCTGGTTTGGGTTGGAAGGGACCTTAAAGCTCATCCAGTTCCGACCCCTGCCACGGGCAGGGACACCTTCCACTAGAGCAGCTTGCTCCAAGCCCCATCCAACCTGGCCTTGGAATGCTGACATCAGCCCTTGGTTCACCCTCAGTGCATCCTGCCTCTCAGGGAAGGAGGCAGTGCAAGTCTGGGCACGCTGCTGCTCTGGGCAATGCGGTGCCAGCAGCAACCCCAGGCATGGAGCGCTCCAGCTTTGGGGATGGAGCATCCCATCTCCTGCCATCAGGCCAGGGTCAGGCATGCTCCATCTCCCCGTGAGCCCCATGGAGTTCTCTGGGGAGCTGGAGAAGGTCCCCCATATGCAAGAGCCAGTGCATCCAAAAACACATTGTGCATACAGTGCTTCTAGGTGTCAGATACCTCTGTCTCTAGCAGCATGTGAAGCAAAGAGGGATCTCTACTGTGTGTCCTTGAACCCCACAAGAGCAGCGTGAGGGAGGAAGGAGGGGTGCCACCAGCTGCCTGAGCAAGGGCATGCTGCTCATAGCGGGAGCCAAGGGGTGCAGGCAAGCTTGGAGCAGGGAAAGGACCGGGAGCAGTCAGGCACTAACCTCTCGAAGATCTCTTGTTCTGCATGCTGGGGACAAGGAGAGAAAGAATCATCACAGCAGCAATGCCCACAGATAAAACCCCAAACCCAGGCTGGGCACTGCAAACCCAGGCAGCACTGTTCTCCTTCCTGACCCACAGAAACCACTCCTCACCCCAGCGCTTGCCATGGGCAGCAGGGGGAACCAGCACCCCTTTTCTCCAGCTGCAGCACTCTCCACTCCCTGACTCAGGACTCAGCTCTAATTCCACACCCTCTGCTAGGCACCAGCCTGTCTGCACCTGACAGATGCACTGCACCCTGAGAACCCCAGCCCTGAGGTCCCCCTGTCCCTTATCCCATCAGGGCATGCTGCAGGAACACCTTGTGCTTGCAGCAAGCACCCCCCAAAGCTGCCAGTGAGGGGTGAAGCTGTGGAGGACCAGAGTCAAGAGAGAACCTCCTGTCAGTCCCTCTTGTTTGGGCACCCGCTGGCAGTGGTGTGTGCTCAGGATACAGCTCCATTGACAAAGTGCTAGGAGAACATTTGATCCCTGCTCAAATACAAGCTGCAGGGTGCTCTGTGTGCCTTTCACTGTCCTGCAGCATGACACGTATCGATTCCTGACAGACACAAGCACCAACACCAACATCCCAAGGTGAGGAATGTGTGAGCCCCACTTCCCCTCCACTACGTGGCAAAGGGAGAATCTGAGGGTCCCCCTGTTTTCTGCCACAGGCATGGGATGGATCTTGCCTTCCACCCCCTGCTCTCCCCAGTGAGGCCGCAGCCCAGCCAGCCAAGGGGCTGTGGCAGGACTGGAGCTGCATTTCCCACCACAGGAGCAGCATCTGCCTTCTGCCCATGGGAGCCAGCAGAGCTGCTGCCCCCTCTTCACAGGTTACACCTGACAAGCAGAGGCTGAGAGCAAGGCAGGAGGTGAGTGCCTCCAAGGACTCGCCTCAGTAAACTGAGATGATTTAACAGCCAGAGGAGGAACTGAGCAAAGGGAAGCACTGGCTGCTGTGCACAGTAAACACCCTTAGGAGAGATGGGCCAGGAAACAGGGCAGGCTCTCAGGATGAGCTGCAGGTGCTCCTGAGGGTCATGTTGTGGTTAAAACTGAACAGAGCCCTACAAAACTGGTGGCTCCATTAACTGCTGTAAGAGCAGCTCCCAACCCAGAGCTGTCCTGGCTGTCCAGCCAAAGGGCCTCTGAGGGCTGGCAGCTTCAGGGTGGGAGACCTGAGCCTGGCTACTTCTGAACCTCACTGCAAGCAGAAGTGGGCAGAGCAGATGCTTCCTCTTCCAGGGGAAGGAGCCACCAGTTCCTAACTTAAGGAACCAGGTGAAGGAGGTTCCTTGAGCTAGATCTGCAAATGCAGGTCCTGTATGGCTCTGCCTCCATGCTATCAGTGCAGCAAGCTGCTGAACACTGTATTTGAGACCCATCATTAAAAGCTTACGTCACCGTTGGGCTGGCGGCGCTGTCCCTGGGTACAAGCAGCAGTACTCACCACCAGGCCCTGGTCATCCAGGCTGGTGATCATGTCCACCAGGTAGGTTCGGAGGGCAGCCAGTTTCTGCAGGGCCTCGCTCCAGTGCAGCCGCTGGGTCAGGATGCTCTGGTGCGCCCGCTCCTCCTCCGCGTGCACCCTCTCCAGCAGCCGCTGCTCCTCGTTCTCGCACGCGTTCCCCACGAAGAGCAGCCTCTGGATCACCCGCTCCCGCGCCGCGCTGGCTGCGCTCTGCCGGGGAACACCCGCCCTGCTCAGCCCCGCCGGCAGCACCGACCGCCCCTGCCGGCTCTGCCCGCGGCTGAACCGCCCCGCACCGAGCCCCGGCCCCAGGCACCCCCGGCACTCACCAGGACCCGCTGGTCCTTGGCCGGCAGCACCTCGTCCACGTGCCGGGCGATGGCAGCGCTCTGCAGCTGGAGCCGCTCGCACCGGTCCACGATCTTGTTCTGGAACAACACGGGGGTCATCGGGCATCACACGCAGAGACATAGGGAGACCCCTTCCTACCCTGCAGGTGAACCATCCCATAGCCCCCCATGGACCGCACCCTGCCGGGCTCCGCACAGGCAGCCCCCATCCCCCTTCACAGCCCCACACCTCAACAGGGACCCCCCGAGCTCACAGCCTGCCAGGAGGCACCCATAGGAAGCCCCCATCCCCACAGGGACCCTTCACACGGTCCCGCACCCCACCAAGACCGCCCCGGACCCAGGCGCGGCCCCTCTCTCCCTTCAGTCCCGCCCCGTCTCAGGCAGCCCCGCACGTCCCGCGCTTCCCTCGGCCCCGGCGGGCACCGGGGAAAGGGCCCGGCCCGAGGCTCAGGCATCCCCGGGTCCGGGTCCCGTCCCCGTCCCGTTCCGATCCGGTCCCCGCCGCCGCTCACCCTCAGCTCCGCCGCCCGCTCCGCCAGCGGCCGCGGCTCCCGGCCCCGCTGGGCCATCCTGCGGCCCCGCACCTGCCGCTGGGCGGCGGCGGCCCCGCCCGGGCCTCGCACACAGCCCCGCCCCGGTATGGCACAGCCCGGCCCGGCCCCGGTACGGTGAGGGCACGGTACGGTACGGTACGGAACGGCACTGCACGGTACTGCACGGTACGGAACGGCACTGCACGGTACGGTACCGCTGCCGAGGAGCCGGGCGGCGCGGACGGTTCGGGACGGGACGGACGTCGGGGCCCCGCCCGCTCCCGGTGAGTGCGCGGCGGGAGCGGCCCCACAGGGCGGGTTCCGGGCCCACGCTGGCTGCCCCAAGGCCTCGCCGTGGGGCCGGGCCGGCTGCAGGGACCCGCACGGTCCCCGTGCCCTTCCCAGGGGCTGCCCTGGCTGCAGCGACCTGGTCTGTGCCCACACCGCACCCCCCAGGCTGCCCTCATCCTGCTGTGGGGCTCCCCATGGACAGGGGCTCGGGATGCTCCCGTTAGCATCCACCGGGGCACCGCCGCTGTAGAGACCCAAGTCAGCACCGCCTGGTTACCCTCAGCTACAGAGACCTGCGTTCTTGCCATGGGTCCCTCCCGGCTACAGAGCCCAGGTCATCACTGTGGGATCAACCCAGCTATAGGGTCCCACATCATCGCCATAGGGTCTCCCCCGGCTATAGGGCCCTGGGGCTGCCCCTGCACACCCCTCTCTCCTGAGGGATGTTTAACACCCTGTGAAAACAGGGAGGAAGCTGCTGTGACTCCTGTGCCCACTCCTGTGGGTACCGTTGTTTCCCTCTTCATGGTTTGGATCCACTGCAGCACCTCAGGCTGAGGCAGCAGCGCTGGTTATGCTTTAAATACACTGTAGGAAAACATGGGTTTGGTCTCTGTTAAGCAACGCACTGGAGGAAGGGAGGATGGGACATCCTCCAGAGGGAAAATCAGCCTTCCAGAGGGGCAGCTTCATACGGATCACCTGCTGCAGGGTCCCTGTGTTATCAGAGAGCTTGGTGATGGATCAGGCTCATGGAAGACGTGTAGGGCAGCCCCGGGTGAGCTTCCTGCAGCTGCGGCTCTTGTTCAGGGCTCAGCAAAGCCTGCAGTGGGCAGGAGCAGGAGCAGGAGCAGGAGCAGGCAGTTGGGCACAGACAGAGCCCGCTCTGTGCCCTGGGGCACGGCTCTGGGCTGTCCTGCAGGCAGGGGCGATTGCACTGAGCACGAGCAGGACCCTGAGGGCACAGCAAGGACAGGGACTGAAACACCGGAATTTAGGTTTTACCCTGGAATCGTGAAGTGCAGGAAAAACGGCTTCCAAAAATTGCTTCAAGCTCAAGGCCCCTTCCAGCCCAAGCCAGGCCGGGGCTCTGTGATTCCAGTGTACTGGAAGGGCTCAGATGCTTGGTCTGATGGGCAGCAGTGAATCACTGAACTATCCCTGCTCCTCCGCATCTGCAGGGGCAGGCAGGTGGGGATTAGCAGGGTGTTACTGGCTGCTAAGCACAAAAGCTGCCAGGGTAAAATTAGACAGGGAAGGGTTTGCAGACCCCCGACCCCTCCTGCTCAGTGCTCCCAGGCTTTGCTGTTGATCTCTTTGCTGGCACAAGCAGCGGTGTTTTCTGCTCTGGTTTCTCTGAGCAGAACCCCGCTGCCCCCGCAGACGAGCACTGATGGGCACCGGCTGCAGGCTACATTCCATTAGCGTGTCTGGAGCTCAGGAGAAGCCAATTACTGTCCATGGCGATTCACTGCCATTGAAACTGGCTTGTGCTCAGGCTGTGACCCGGGAGGATTAGAGGGAAGGTGCTGCCTCAGGCCCTGCTCTGACCAAGGCTCCTGCAGCTCATGGGGCCTGGCTGCTGTGATGTGGGTTGGCATTGGGCAGCCTGGCCAGCAAGGGGTTGTGTATTGAATGCGTCTGGGTTGTCAACATGCTCTTGTCTAGCCTGGACCTGGGGCTGTAGTTTGGAGGTAGGAAGACCACTCCAAGCTTCACATGAAGTCATTGAATCATAGAATAGTTAGGGTTGGGAAGGACCTTAAGATTATCAAGTTCCAACCCCCCTGCCATGGGCAGGGACACCTCACACTAAACCATCTCACCCAAGGCTCTGTCCAACCTGGTCTTGAACACTGCCAGGGATGGAGCATTCACAACCTCCCTGAGCATCATAGAATCATAGAATGGTTTGGGTTGAAGCGCCCTTAAAGATTATCCAGTCCCATCCCATGCTTCTAGAGACCTTAGAGCAGCTCCAGTGCCTGAAGGGGCTGCAGGAAAGCTGGAGAGGGGCTTGGGACAAGGGCCTGTAGGGACAGGCCAAGGGGAATGGCTTGAACCTGCCCGAGGGGAGACTGAGCTGAGCTCTTAGGCAGAAGCTCTTCCCTGTGAGGGTGCTGAGGCGCTGGCACAGGGTGCCCAGAGAAGCTGTGGCTGCCCCATCCCTGGCAGTGCTCAAGGCCAGGTTGGACACAGGGGCTTGGAGCAAGCTGCTCCAGTGGAAGGGGTCCCTGCCCGTGGCAGGGGTTGGAGCTGGAGGAGCTTTAAGGCCCCTTCCAACACAAACCAGGCTGGGATTCTGTGTTTATCAGCAACTTCTCCTGTCTATGTAACAAGCAGAAACCTCTCTGGGTTCCCACTAATGTGTGCCCTCACCCCCAGGTCATGTCCCAGCAGCGTGTACCCAAGATGCTGATGTGATGCCTGTTGCTGCTGGCTGGAACAGGAGCCGTGCTCATCAGCAGGGCTATGGGGAAACTGCAGAGCAAATTCAGCATCCACACCACTAAATACAGGTAAAGCAATGCCAGGTGATTGTGGCAGGGATTGGAGCTGGGTGAGCTTTAAGGTCCCTTCCAACCCAAACCAGGCTGGGATTCTATGAAATAATCCCATATCTGGCAGCAGGGTGTGTGATCTCTGCCTTGGAAGCAGCTGAGAGCCCAGGGTGGCAGCACGGGGGACTCTCTGTGCTTGGCAAGGAGGGTGTTGGGTGTCAGAGCACAGCAGAGCCCAGAGCCAGGCTGGTGTCAGTGGAAGAGGAGGCTGGGGAGATAGGAATTCCTTCTTTGACCTGCACAGAGCAAGCACCTAAATATTTGGCAGCTCTGGAGGTGGAACAGGTCTGTTCCATCCCACCCAGTGCAGGAGGTGCATTTGTCCATTCACAGCGTCACTTTTGCTCTCTAAAGGCAGATGTTGTCCCTCTCCAGCCCAGCCATGGATGCCACCTCAGTTCCACTGGGGCAGGGCACCTGGACCATGCCCAGAGAACCCTGCCTGTGGCCGGAGCTCCTTGACTGCACCCAGAGGACCTTGACCATGCCAAGAGCACCCACACCATGCCGAGAGCACCATGACTGTGCCCAGAGCACCCTGACTATACCCAGAGCACCCTGACTGTGCCGAGAGCACCATGACTGTGCCCAGAGCACCCTGACTGTACCCAGAGCACCCTGACTGTGCCCAGAGCACCCTGACTGTGCCCAGAGCACCCTGACTGTGCCCAGAGCACCCTGACTGTACCAAGAGCACCCTGACTGTACCGAGAGCACCCTGACTGTACCGAGAGCACCCTGACTGTGCCCAGAGCACCCTGACTGTACCGAGAGCACCCTGACTGTACCGAGAGCACCCTGACTGTGCCCAGAGCACCCTGACTGTGCCGAGAGCACCCTGACTGTACCAAGAGCACCCTGACTGTACCAAGAGCACCCTGACTGTACCGAGAGCACCCTGACTGTACCCAGAGCACCCTGACTGTGCCCAGAGCACCCTGACTGTACCGAGAGCACCCTGACTGTACCGAGAGCACCCTGACTGTGCCCAGAGCACCCTGACCATGTCCCAGAGCACTTTGACTATACTGAGAGCATCCTTACTGTGCCCGGAGCACCCTGCCTGTGCCCAGAGCATCATCACCTTCCATCTCTGTCTCTGCCTGTGCAGGGCCAATGGCTCCGTGGGAGAGGTGGGACCAGCTCAAGCCGCTCTGCAGCACAGCCCCGCACACAGCGATGCTGTCACCGCCGTGGCTGCTCTCGAACCAGACCTGTGCGTGTCCGGAGCAAGGGACAAGGTGAGGCTCCCCCTGCCACAGGGCACAGCACGGTCACAGGTGGGAAGTGTCCTGACAGGTTGGGGGAATGGGGTTTCTGTGTGAGCTTTAGACATTCCCATGAGTGGTTCCAACTGTGTTACTTCCTGAATTTAGGAGCACGAGATGAGCTTAGAGCGAGGGCAGACACTGAACCGAGTTCTAGAAGCCCTGCAGAGCTCAGGTCACACCAAATGCTCTCACCCAGGCTTGGAATCACTGGACTGGCCCTTACAGTACCTGGCAATGGATGGGCTCTACAGACAGCTGTATAAGCTGTAGGAGCCCAAACCAGAAGGACCCCTTCCCTCTCCAAGCACAGGGCTCACCCCAGCAGGAGCAGGGAGGTGTGTGTCTGTGCTCACGGGCTGCTCTCCTGCCCTGCTCCGCAGAGCGTGGCTCTCTGCAGCTGGAGGGCCGGGGCTGTGCTGCAGCGGTTCACAGGCCACCAGCAGGAGGTCACCAAGGTGAGTGACAATGGGCTGGGGGGGGTCTCCTGTGCTCCTGCCGGTCAGAAACCCGGAGCCGGGAGTGATGGAGCAGTGGTTTGTGCCCTGCAGAGAGCTCGTGGTGCTCCCTCAGAGAGAGGGACCGGGGTAGCAGGGTGTGCTAGGTCTTTCCCAAGGTCCCAACTGATACTTTGCTGTCCAGGGAAGTGGCACGGACTGGTTGCATCTGGGCTAAACAGGGCTCCAGGAGGCTTGGACGTGCTCTCCCTGCCAAGAGACTACTTAGCAGCACTCAGTCAAGTTTTGGATCCAGAGATGCTGTTCACTTGCGGCAGGCCTCATTCCATGAGACTCATCATTGTTCTTGGGTTGTATTCTTAATAGAGAGGGGCTTGGGACAAGGGCCTGCAGGGACAGGCCAAGGGGAATGGCTTGAACCTGCCCGAGGGGAGACTGAGCTGAGCTCTTAGGCAGAAGCTCTTCCCTGTGAGGGTGCTGAGGCGCTGGCACAGGGTGCCCAGAGAAGCTGTGGCTGCCCCATCCCTGGCAGTGCTCAAGGCCAGGTTGGACACAGGGGCTTGGAGCAACTTAAGAGAATGGGGGTCCTCCGAGGATGCTGCCCAATGCTCCCCACCACAACCTGCATGGTCACAGCAGGGCCTGCAGTGGGGCTGAGCGATTTCCCTGGTCCTACTGTGTTGGGGTTTGCCTGTGCCAGGATCCAGCAGAGCAGGAGGCTCAGTGTGAGCAGTCAGGCACATGCACATCAGCACGGGCAGAGCAGGGTTTGAAGGCTGGGCTCTCCCCAGTTGGGTTTCTGCACATCTCAGGCTCTGACAGGGCCACACAGGGGTGGTGCTGGCCCTGCTGGGCTGGTGGCGGCTTCTCCCACTTGTCCCTTCCAGGTCACCTCAGCCCCTGCCTCCAGCAGAGTCTTCAGCGCATCCCGGGACAAGACAGCGCTGATGTGGGAGCTCCAGGGGACCCCAGGACCCAGCCAGCGCTTCGCAGCACACGAGCTGGTTGTGACGGGCCTGGCTGCGAGCCCGGGTGAGGGACCCCAGGCTCCCGCTCCCCAGGGATTCCTCGGCACCTATCCCGGGTGTCGCTGTCAATGGGAACGTTGCTTGCAGATGGCTCCCAGCTGTGCACGGGCTCACGGGACAACACCGTGTGCAAGTGGGACACGGAGACCGGGCGCTGTCTGCGCAGAGCCCTCACCCGCAGGAACCTGGTAGGAGCCCTGGTTCCCTGCATCCCGTCCCAGCCCCCGGGGCCAGTTTCTCACTCTGCTCTGAGCTTGGTGCTTCAGGGCAGCCCTGAGGCAGTGCTCGGGTTGCACCGGGGAGGGCAGAGCTGCAGGCTGGTTACTGCGCTCTCCAGGTAACAGCGAAGCACAGGATGCTGAGAGCCGCACAGCGAGTGATGAATGCTGTGAGCGGGAGCTGCTTGGAGCGCATCAGGGGAGGAGCCGGTGGGAAGCAAGAAAAACTTCCCCTGTTTTCTGCTCCGAGCCCAGCACGAGGAGGAGAGGACGTGGCCTCAGTGGCTCAGTGTCTGCAGGACCCCAGCCTGGGCTGCACAGGGCTGCCCTCTGCTCACCCTTTCCTTCCCGCAGGTCACACATCTGTGCTGGGTGCCTGGGGAGCCTTACATCATCCAGACCTCAGAGGATAGAACAGTCAGGTACATGAGAGGCCCCCAGTGCCTAAAGGGGGGACAAGAGACCTGGAGAGGGGCTGGGGACAAGGGCCTGGAGGGACAGGGCAAGGGGAATGGCTTGAACCTGCCCGAGGGGAGACTGAGCTGAGCTCTTAGGCAGAAGCTCTTCCCTGTGAGGGTGCTGAGGCGCTGGCACAGGGTGCCCAGAGAAGCTGTGGCTGCCCCATCCCTGGCAGTGCTCAAGGCCAGGTTGGACACAGGGGCTTGGAGCAAGCTGCTCCAGTGGAAGGGGTCCCTGCCTGTGGCAGGGGTTGGGGCTGGAGGAGCTTTAAGGTCCCCTCCAACCCAAACCACTGTTATTCCATGTGCCACGGGCATTTTCCTGTCCGTGTGCACACAGGAAGGGAACTAAACCATCTCACCCAAGGCCTCGAAGAAGAAGTCTCAGCACAGCTCCAGTGGCTGGAGCTGGATCCTGAATGGATGCAGGGAGAGCTTTGGGGTTTGGCTTGCTGGGGGAAGGAGAGGGACAGCAGCAAGGGTAGTGCAGGGGCATGGAGGGACGCCCATCATGGCAATGGTGCATCAGAGCCCCCTTCCTCTCACGGTTCCTCCCAGGCTGTGGGACCTGCGGCCGCTGGAGGTGGCTCACAGCTTCCCCGCCAAGCGGCACATCCAGACCTGCTGCGACGTGAGCCCCGACGGCCGGCTCTGCCTGAGCACCAGCAGCGGCTCCGCGGGAGAGGGCTGCGAGGCCACGGTGAGACCCGGCCCCTGCAGTGCGAGCGGGGCAGCACCGCGGGCAGCTGCCTGCTCCTGGGCTCGCGTTGCCGTGCCCATGGCACGCAGCGGGGGGCAGCAGGGGGCAGCGGGGGGCAGCAGGGGGCAGCAGGGGGCAGCAGGGGGCAGCAGAGGGCAGCGGGGGACAGCAGGGGGCAGCAGAGGGCAGCGGGGGGCAGGGAGGGCAGCGGGGGCAGGGAGAGGGCAGCGGGGGGCAGCGGGGGGCAGCAGAGGGCAGCGGGGGGCAGCGGGGGGCAGCAGGGGGCAGCAGGGGGCAGCAGAGGGCAGCAGGGGGCAGCGGGGGACAGCAGGGGGCAGCAGAGGGCAGCGGGGGGCAGCAGAGGGCAGCAGGGGGCAGCAGAGGGCAGCGGGGGACAGCAGGGGGCAGCAGAGGGCAGCAGGGGGCAGCAGAGGGCAGCAGGGGGCAGCAGGGGGCAGCGGGGGCAGCAGGGGGGCAGCGGGGGGCAGCGGGGGACAGCAGGGGGCAGCAGAGGGCAGCGGGGGGCAGCAGGGGGGAGCGGGGGGCAGCAGGGGGCGGCAGGGGCGGCAGAGGGCAGCGGGGGCAGCAGGGGGCAGCGGGGGGCAGCAGGGGGCAGCAGAGGCAGCGGGGGCAGCAGGGGGCAGCAGAGAGCAGCAGGGGGCAGCAGGGGGCAGCAGAGGGCAGCAGAGGGCAGCAGGGGGGCAGCAGGGGGCAGCGGGGGGCAGCAGGGGGCAGCGGAGAGCAGCAGGGGGCAGCAGGGGGCAGCGGGGAGCAGCAGGGGGCAGCAGGGGGCAGCAGAGGGCAGCAGAGGGCAGCGGGGGGCAGCAGAGGGCAGCAGAGGGCAGCGGGGGGCAGCGGGGGGCAGCAAGGGGCAGCGGGGGGCAGCAGAGGGCAGCGGGGGGCAGCGGGGGGCAGCAGAGGGCAGCGGGGGGCAGCAGAGGGCAGCGGGGAGCAGCGGGGGCAGAGGGGCAGCGGGGGGCAGCGGGGGGCAGCAGGGGGCAGCAGGGGCAGCAGAGGGCAGCGGGGGCAGCAGGGGGCAGCAGAGGGCAGCGGGGGGCAGGAGAGGGCAGCGGGGAAGGGGGCGCGGGGGCAGGAGGGGGCGGGGAGGGGGGGGGGGGGGGGGCAGCGGGGGGCAGGAGAGGGCAGCAGGGGACAGGAGAGGGCAGCGGGGGGCAGGAGAGGGCAGCGGGGGGCAGCGGGGGGCAGCGGGGGGCGGCAGGGGGTAGCAGGGGGCAGCGGGGGGCAGCGGGGGGCAGCAAGGGCAGCGGGGGGCAGCGGGGGGCAGCGGGGTCAGCGGGGGGCAGCAGTGGGCATGAGGCTGCCGCTCCCAGCACCGGCTAGCTCCGCCGCTCAGCATCTCCCTGCCTGTCCCTTTGGCAATCCCGGTGCCCGCGGGTACCTGAGCTCGTGGTTAAAGCCCCGGGATTTGGTCCCATGGCCGTGAGGAGCACGAGGCGCGCACAGAAATCCCATCAGGAACCCCCGTGCTGGAGGCACTTCCAAACCGTGCAGGGTCCCAGCCCTGTGTGTGAGCAGCGGGCGGGTGGGAGCTGTGGGTGTGATTCTCACTGTTACAGTGAAGACAGCTCAGGGCCTTCTTGGCACAGTGTCTGAAACATCACATCGTGACTGTGCATGCTTGAGTGCACAGGACAGCCTTCAGTAATGGATGTCAAGTGTTCCATCCTCATTACCCACCCTAATCAGAGCCCAGTCTGCCATAGTGTAACATCAGTGACTCGCTCGGAAGGCACCGTGTCCTTGAAACGATGCCTGTGGGCATCCAGCTCTGACCTCTGCCTGTGCCCTGCAGCTGTGGGACCTGCGGCAGACGAGGAGCCACGTGTGTGAGTACAAAGGGCACTTCCAGACCACGACCTCGGGTGTTTTCCTGCCGTGGGGCCCAGCGCTCACCCCCAGCATCGCCACGGCCTCACTTGACAGCACCGTGAAGGTCTGGGACCGAGACACTGCAGGTAGGGCAGGGCCCTGCCCGCTCAGTGCCCCACTCTGGGTAACGGAGCTGCTGCTTGGTTTCTGTCTCCCACTGCTGATGGGCACGGTGAAGCCTGAGATCCCTGGATTTTCCTCTAACCCAGCTGCAGGGCAGGATGGAGCTGCCCCAGAGCAAACCCAGGGGCTTCTGCTTGTCCCCCAGCCAAGGAAATGGGAAATGACTTCTTTCTTGTTTGAAAGCTTATCAAAACCACACGTTGTGTTGCACGGCACATAGGAAAGCCCTGCAGCTCTGCCCAGTGGGGTCTGTCCACCCAACCCATCCCTGCCTCCTCTCCAGGGAAGAGGCAGAGCCTGACCTCAGCCTGGATTCCTGTTTGCTGGCCACTGCCTGACTGGGCAACACAGACCGCAGTGGGGCTTATGGAGAGTCCCTTGTTCAAAGGGCACATCCCAGTGTGGGGATGCAGGAGGGACAGGGACAGAGCAGAGGAGGTGGGAGGTTGGTGTGGTTGTGTCTCACCTCTGTGACATCTCTGTTCCCTCCTCAGCCTGCCTGGCCACGCTGTACCTGGATGGAGCAGGACCGTTGTCCTCGCTGGCTGCCTGTGACAGCTCCACGCTGCTCTGTGCCACTTCCAGCTCGGGGATCCACGTCCTCCGGCTGCGTGAGGGTGTGGGGCCGGCGCTGGAGGAGGTGGGGGTGTTCTGACCGCAGCCTTTCCAGCAGACGGGACCCAAGGGTTTCAGCTTGCGGGAGGGGAAGGCACTGGAGCTGCCTGGAACAGCCACACCATGGATGCGACCAGGCCAAGGTCTTGCTCCTGAGTGAGCCTCGTGTGTTACCAACAAACCTCCCAGGGGCAGCTCCCCCGAGGAGCCAAGGGGCAGCACTGGGGGGTGCCAGGTCAGCCTGAGCTCAGCTGCTCAGGGGTAAGTCACCATGAGAGGTGGTCCCTGTACAACCGGTATGACTGTGCCCAGTGCTGCTCTGTGAGCAGCTCAGCTCCATCGACCTGCTGGCTATGCTCCTGTTGATGCAGGACAAGGTTGGTGTTCTGACCTCTCATCCCATAGTATTTTCCCTGGGAGCAAGTAAGAGCTGGCACAGAGCACATGGGAGCTGCCTCCCCACTGCTCAGGAGGGAGGAGAAAGCCCACAAGTTAGTGGGTTTTTTTCTTAGAACACCACTTCCACTGCGGGTGCTGAGAGCAGAACCATGTTCATGCTGCCAAGGAACACGGAGCTGCTCCAGCTGACAGTGAGGACATGAACCAGTCTCCTCTTCCCTCCTGAGGGGTTTTTATGGTGGCAGACAGAAAGCAAACTGCGCTGGGAAGTTCCTGTAATTTCTCCATTCCTCCCTCGGGCCCAGAGGCACATTCAAAACATGCTTTCATTTTCCAGAACACAACATTTGCAAAGCCTCAATCTAAAGAATAAACACCAAGGAAGAAAGCTCCCTGCAGTGTGTATGTTAGAACAAAGTCCTACACTGAAACAGCCTTTCTCACATCACCTCAGGTGAGACACAGCAAACACACAGGAGATGCCTACGTGCATTCGAAGCACCCGGCTCACCAAGGACATGAGGTGGTACACAGAAAAGAAACTTCCCTGGCCTTTCACACCTCCTGTGGGTAAACACAAAGGGCACACAGAGCTCCACACTCGGGGTACCGTGTTCCTCTAACACTGACACCAAGTTTTCCCTTCTTTAAATGCAAATCAAGTTTGAAGCCACAGACTCCTTCCAGAGGCTCCTGGAAATGGAAGGTAAGAAGGGAATGAGCAGAGGCTGAACAATGCAGCACACCGCAGGGGTGTGTGGTGAGCCACAGATGCATAAAATGGGCTGGAGGAAACCTGTGAGGCTAACGGGGAAGGGAGGGTGGAAGCAGATGGATCATCTCCAAACAACAGCAGAAAGCATCTGCAGTATGAAACCAGCATCCTAAAGGGTACAAAAACATGACCCAAGATTTGCCTCCAGCAAACACAGGTACTTCACAACCACCTCACCCAAGCCCAGCCAGTGCCCAGCTGCCCTATCACATGCTGCAATAGCCCATTCCTTTCTTTAATATAAAAAAGCTTGTCCTAGCTGACAGCCACGAACGGCTCCTTCAGTTCATGAGCAGCTGCTCTGAGCTACTCTGCTGTCCACAGCTTGAAGGTTCTGTCATAGGAGCAGGTTGCTATCAGCTGGCCATCGAGGGAAATGTCCAGTCCCATCACCTTTCCCTCATGACCAGCCAGTGTCTTCAGTGGGGACCAGCCAGGGTGAGTCCAGATCTTGGCTGTGTTGTCATAGGCGCCCGTAAGCAGGAAGTTTCCATGGTTGGCTGCAGCAGAGGATGAGAACACAGGAGAGGTAAAACCATCCCAAACCCTGACCTTCTCGACCGAAGGTGTTTCATCCCCTGCCACCCCAGCTCAGGAGGTACTTACGTTCAAACTTCACCCCCGTCACCAGGTTCTGGTGGGCAGGAATGGTGTAGATGCACTTCCTCTGGCGCAGGTCCCACACCTTGCACGTGTTGTCACCACTGCCAGTCGCAACGTGGTATCTGCCAAAGGGGGGGAAAGGCGTTGTCAGGAGCTTTGTACTCAGAACTGCCCATTACACCACCCAAACTCTCTTCTTACCCATTAGGGGAGAAGTTAATCCCATAGATCTCCTTCAGGTGGCCTTCCAGGAACATGATGCAGCGTCCTGTGCGCAAGTCCCACACCCGGCCAAAAGCATCCAGGCCTCTAGGAAGGGAGACCACAAGTGTTACCCATCAGAGCCTTCGACAAGTGCCAGAGCTCAGCCTCACCAGCAGCATCACTGGGGCACCTGGCATCAGCCAGCAACCAAACCTTGATACCATTTCATGCCTGGTCCCAGTGCAAAGCACACTCACCCAGTGCCTGCGAGGGACCCGTCCGTGTGAAAGGCAATGTCATAGACCCCTTTGCTGTGCCCCTCCTGATGGAGAATCTCCTCCTGAGCTTCCAGGTCCCACAAGCGCCACGAGTGATCGTAGCTGTAAAACCAAAGCATGTGTCCAACCCAATGGATCTCCAAGGAGAACAAGAGGGTATTGCACTAACCCAGGCTGTGTGTAGGTGTGTGTGTGTGTATTTCCAGCTGGAGACCAACAGGGTTTCCCATGAGGAGCTGAGAAAGGAATCCCAATGCCTTGATGTTCCTCACACTGCAGCAGCCCAGCTGCTGTCAATGGCCAAGCCTTGCCCACACTCAGCTCCTCTGAACAAGAAACAGCACCCACTGGGCTACCAGATAGAGAGTTAATGGTAATGTCTGAAGGAAATAAGCAAACCTCCCTACCAGGTGGTACCCAGGAACCGGCCTGACGGGTGCCACATCACACGTGCCACTCTCATGCTGTGTCCTTCAATATCTGCCACTGGTTCATCACTGAAAAACACAAAAATCAGGCACTGGTCAGAGGTGGGGGCTCCTGGAGGCCTTTGCAAATGGTCTGCTCACACCACAGCATCTGCTCATTAAATGCCACCCAGCCAGAACATCAGAGCTTTAACTAATGGCTCTGAATTCTGGCTTTGCTCATGCAGGTGCAGCTGGAAGTGGAACCCATTGATCCACATTCATGCTGGTTATAAAGTTCTCCTAAGATAATCATTACCATTATTCCTGAAAAGGCCCTTGTCATTAAAGTGCAGAACCAAAACATACTGCAACAGCAGGAGATTTACTGTGGCTTCACAGAACTAGAGCAAATCCTGCTCTTGTGCAGAGCTGCAGGGAGGCAGGACAGAGGGAATATTCTCCCAGAATTGCAGGCAGCAGGTCAGCAACCTTCAGCAGGAGACCTGAGCAGCACTGAGTTTCTTTCCAACAGGGTAACTAAAGAGATGTGGCCATCTCAGACTAATAAGCAGCCTGTGCCTGTGCAGAGCTCTGCTTCTGTGACTGGAAACACTGACTTCCAGCTAAGGGTAAGCCCCTGAGGACTTCCACTGCATGAGGTGCACTGCAGAGCTCCTCAAACAGCCAATGCCAGGGCTCAGGGTCTACACCTCCTCTTCTTCCCAGCCTTGAGATAGATGCTGCACATCTTCCAAAACTACACTGCAATGACAGAGCCACTGAGAGGCTGAAGCTTTTGTGCATCCTCCTGTATTTGGTTACTCCCTCTCCAGATACTGTGCTTTCTAATAACTCTTAAGTTCATTTTTTAATATCCATAGAATCAACTAGGTTGGAAAAGACCTTTAAGACCATCAAGTCCAGTCCAAGAGGGGATATTTTCTCCTAAATAAAAGGTTAGAATGAAACAATCTCCAAATCTTCCATCCATCACCCAAAGCATTCACCAGAGCCCAGCAGCAACCCGGACTTGATTCTCTTCAGATGACTTCCCCTCACCTGGATGTCCCTACTCAGGGTGATCTCTTTTCCTGCTGAAGAAGGTGGCACAAACTGAGGCCAGGGATTGCACTGGTATAACTACAAGAAAAGGCTGTATCTGCAGGAGGATGGTAAATGTCCAGTGTTTAGCAGCATGAAATAAACCCCAAACCAACCATGCTTCAGTGTGCTTGTCTGGTATCATTCTGACCTTTCAAGGCTCCAGAGTTTGACAGAACCATCAGCTGCACAGGAGGCCAGGTTAACATCCTTCTTGTCCAGGGAGACAGTGGCTTTGGGATGGAAAACTATTGCTCCTACATTGGTGCTGTGTCCTTAAGAGGAAGGAAGATCACAAAATCACTGTCTGCCACATGATCTTGGCCAGTTCTTCAGAGAAGCAGCACTTTTTGTTGCTCATTAGCTGGGCACCAGTGAACGCTGTCGCTGTATCCTCCCATGTTGGGTGAAGGTGCATTGTAACCACCAGCCACAGCTACCAACAGCTACACTGCACTTCCAGTAGCACCCACTTCAGAGTGTCCAACACAAAGGTTTGTGACACTCAAAATGTAGTGAAATTCCAACATATGAATCCAGAGATCTGTCCTCACCTTTGTACCCAGTCACAGTTGTGACCACTGTTCAAAGAACCTCACTGCTGGTAAGTGACTGGCCAAAAATGCTGCTATTTGCCTCTAAATAATTCAAAGCAGGTTTTGAAACAAAACAAAACCCATTTAGAATCACAAACAGCAAACTCTGGTCTCAGCTCTAGGAGAAAGGCCAGGACTTCCTCCTCATTACCTGACAGTGCCCCAGCCCCCCAGTGCTCTCATGAGAACAAAACCTGCCCAAAGATCACTACATTTGGAGCCACAAAGTAATTGAGAAAGGGGAACTCAGCCCAGAGAGGAAAAAAGAACTCAGCAAAGTTGCTCTCACCTCGTAATGTGTGGACAAGGTTGCAGTCAGGCACGGACCAGAGCTTGCACAACCCACTCCTGTTGATGACAAGAAATAGGTGTCAGTGTAGGCAGGAATGTTAAAGAGCAGATCAAACCCAGAGCTGCAAAACCACCTGGGTATGGGGGGCTGCAATGGCTGAAACACCAATGCACGTGGGCCATGGCAACTAATGGACTTGGACTGAAATATCTCCTAGGCTCTAAAATGAAGGGACGAGAGTTCAGAGTAGAAAGAAAAGGCATTTCTGAACTCTCCTGATTCACCAGTGTGCAGTAGCAGCCCTCTCCTTCACTCCTGCTGTGCTCTCCAGCCCCTAAAGCAAGTGCTGTGGAAGGAAACTCACCAGCAGGCAGTCGCGAGCAGCTTGGA